GGAGAAATGAGGAGCTCATGCCAGGGGCTTAGGTGGAGAGCAAATGTTTTGAGAATGAAGAGGGCAATGAATGTACAAATATGTTTTACACAATTGATGTATGTATGGATTGTGATAAGAGTTGTATGAGCCCCTAATAAAACGATTCAAAAAAAAAGAAAATGCATATCTCTTAGGATTTCCTATGTCAAATTATAGTCTTATATCCAATGCAACTGTTAATTTCAACCTTTACCTTTAAATGAGCAATACATTACCTTTAAATGAGCTACATATGAAATATTCTCCTGGTGTATTAACCCAACTTCAGGTACATTGCTCTAAGTTAAAGTACTTTCAAAGGAGTTCTTTCAAAGGAATTTTGACTTTTTGCAAACCAAGTAATGGCCCCTATGATTGTATATTGTTCTGCTTGGGTAGTTGGATGGTAAGAGGGTAATGTGTATTAGCTCTCTCTCTCTCTCTCTCTCTCTCTTTGACAATTTCAACCTTTTCTCCATTTGCTAATTTTTACATGTAATTTTTTTAATTGTGGCAAAACTATAATTTTTTAATTGTGGCAAAACTAATTTTTACATGTAACTTTTAATTGTGGCAAAACTAATTTTTACATGTAATTTTTTAATTGTGGCAAAACTACTCCATTTGCTAATTATTCCATGTAATTTTTTAGTTGGGGCAAAACTATACATAATGAGGACGATCAAATCACTACTCCAATGTACACTTTCATTATGAGAATAGATATGCAGTGTAATCTTTATGAAGCCTACTATACACTGAATTACACATGTAGAAGTAGTTGAATTGGGGAATATTAGGTCTCTTAAAGATTTCCCACAATATCTATTCTCATAATGAAAGTGTACATTGGAGTAGTGATTTGATCATCCTCATTCTAAATAAGAGGTGTTTTATGTCTGTGTTAGGCCAGGTTGACTGGAGAAACAAATCTAGAGACCATCATATGTGTGTAAAAGAAAGCTTTATATCAAAGGGCAATTGTATATTAAGAAAACATTCCAGCCTAGTCCACATTAAGTCCATAGGTCTGATATTAGCTCATATGGCTGATATTAGTCCATAAATTCCTCATCAGACTCAATGCAGCATATTCAATGATGCTGAACGCAGGAAGATGACAGGCCAGTAGGTGCAAAGTCTTGTGGATCCAGTGGTGGTGTTAGCATCTTCAGGGCTCTCACAGGTCTGTGTGGCTCCTGCACCTTGCCAAGTGACTTGACAGCAGGAATGTGAACAGAGCGAGGCTTTAGCAGGGTTCAGTGTCCGTGTAGCGTGGCGTGTCAAAAGGAAGACAAAGGCAGAGAAAGAAAGTTCCTAGAATCCTCATGAGAAGGCCGTGCCCACAAGGAGGCATCATCAGGCTTTGTGACCTGATTAACAGGCTAGACTCAACCCCTTCACTCTTAATAGTCTCACGTTGACATGAGATTATGTAACTTCGACAACATCAGATCATAATCCAATATCCCATAAACCTGGATTAGGATATATGTTCCTTTGAGCTCTTTTACTCAATTATGGTATTCTCCAATTAGAGAAATCTGTTCATTCTACCTCAGTGTTTCTCAACCTTCCTCATGCTACAACCCTTTAATACAGTTCCTCATCTTGTAGTGACCCCAACCATAGTTATTTTCATTGCTACTTCATAACTAATTTTGCTACTGTTATGAATCATAATGTAAATATTGATATGCAAGATGTATTTTCATTGCTACAAATTGAACATAATTAAAGCATAGTGATTAATCACGAAACAATATGTAATTATAATTCATGAAGTGTCATTTTACCTCCAATATTGCTGCTTTCAACACCGCAGCTGCTCTCTACACATGTGTGACTGGTCCGCATAAGTATATTATGTCGCCAACTCCGTCACATACACCTGTATCTGTCTGGGGTGTATGTGATGGGGTTGGCGCAATGATGTCATCACTCCGGATACTCTTATGTGGGCATATCTGCATGTGGGCGGACCCTCCTGGAAACAGATAGAGGAGCAGGCATCTCGGTTCCTAAGACCATCGAAAATGTGTCAGCCCCTGTGAAAGGGTCGTTCAACCCCCAAAGGGGTCGAGACCCACAGTTTGAGAACTGCTGTTCTATATGCTACCCTGGCCTAGATTGCAGACAAGATTGCCAATGGAATAGCTACTTAACAATAATCTTTAGAATTACTTGCCAAAGTATTATTAGACAATGTAATACTCTTAGACTTTCTCTTAGCTCCACAAAGAGGTTTATGTGCTATTGTTAATACCTCCTGTTGCTCCTGGATAAATACCTCCAGGGAGACGGAGCACATTACAAAGATCCATCAGAAGGCTACCTGCTTGCATTCATTAACTCCTATAACTGTTTCTTCTTCTTCTTCCCCTTTTAAAAAATCTTTGACTGGTTATCACATAAATCTGAAGAACTAGCAATGAAGTCCTTTACTTCCCTTTGGTTACTCAGGTTGGCTGTTTTCTTTGAGCTCACCCTAAATTCATTCCTCCAAGTCAGACTTGCCTGCTGCCATAACCCTCACCAAAATCTACTCACCCAGAGCAGGGGGCCCAAGAGCTTGGCAAAGGGAAGAAGCTTAGCCAACTAAAGAAGGGTTAGCTTCCTTGGACGAACCTCACTGTAAACTCCTGGAGCAAAGAAAGTCCTTGCAGGAGAAGGGGTTCCCATCGTGGGTAATCTGCCCCCTCTAGTGGACGTTTGATCAAAAAGGGGAGAAACCCTAAATGCAGAGGAATTTGGAGCAAACTCACTAAAGCGTTAATTTGTGGGGCCCAGGGAAATTCCAGGGAGGGAGAACTAAAGAATGTGACTACACTCCGAAAATATTTAATTAAGACGACAATCAGAACGTTCTAGGAAACTCATAACAAAAACATCTGTGTCAACTGGTCTTGGAAAACTGTTGCCATGTGGTTTGCACAGGCTGGTACTGAGAAGTCTTAAGACTGCTTTGTGGAAAATAAATTAGTTTGATCTTTGAACGGAAACTTCTGGGATCTCATAACCTTGGATTGACTAGACAAAGTAAATGTCAACCATCAGAAAAAATGGTAAATTCTTGATATTTCTATATAAAAGCACTCCCCCCCCCAAAAAAAAATAGCCAATTGGAGTCCATAGTAATTTCATTCTGTAATGCCCAGTTTGAGCTGTTATTCCTCAATAAAATTATTTGGCTTTAATTCTTGAGTACTGTATTTTCTTTTTTGGCAATGAAAGTAGACGAACTGGAAGTGCACCCGAGAGGATGCATTGTGTATCATGCAGAAAATTCGACTGTTCAAACACCGTTTATTCCTGGTGCCAATATTCTGTTTAGAAAACAGAGACCACAGAAATTCCGTCCTGCTCCCACCCCATCCCCACACCTTGCACATGAACTTTGCCCCCAGGCCCCACTACAGTTCCTTTCTCTGCCATCTTGCTCTGTACTTATTTCCTTAGGGCTAAGACACGTAGGGGGATTTTATTTTTCAATTTTTACTGTCATCCAGTCTAATCAGACTCAAAGCGAGCCTTCATTGGGCTTCAGAGGCTATAAATCTTCCTGGGAACAGATGGCCTCATCTTCCAGCCTTGAGGCTAGCAGTCCAACGCTTACCCGACAGCGCCACCAGGACTCACCCAGGGAAACAGGATGAGAAAGTCCAAGGATAGATTCTAGGCCCAGTACCTAGCACAGACTCAGTAAAGATCTGTTGAATGAACAACATGGATCAATTGTTTAAGATACTAACAAAGTAAACCAGAAAGCGCCGCCTTAGGGGAACATGAATCCTGAAATTCACCCTTCTTCTCTGGGCCTAGGTGAAGTCTCTGGTCCATTGGGTCAGTGCCACGGTTACCGATATTCCTATGACCGGAAGTCGGAGTACGCAAGTTCGGGCCACACTGGAGTTCCATGCAGCCTCTAGGGCTTCAGGGTCTCCAGAGTCCAGAAAGGGATTCCCAGTCAGTGACAGGTGTTCCACCTGCGGCAGCTCATCTGGCCGCGGCTCCCTGTTCAGTCTGTTATAACTGAGATCCAGGGTGCTGAGCTTGGCCGGCAGGCCCTTGGGCACCTGCTCCAGCCCAGTGGACGACAGGTTCAAAGAGCTCAAAGCGCTGGGCCACACGCACGGGGGCGCGCCTGGGCTGGCCGCGGGGCGCAGCGCGTTCCGGCTGAGGTCCAGGTGCTGCGGCTGCACGGCCGTCGCCGCCAGCGCCGCGCACACGCCGCTCGGCGTCTCCATCCCCGAGTGGCGCAGCTGCAGCACCTGGAGCGCCGGGAACTTGTGCGGACACAGGGCGGCGGGCAGCCCGCGCTCGCCCAGCCCCGGGTTGTCCGACAAGTCCAAGGTGGTGAGGGCCGGGAAGGCGCCCAGCTGCTCGCAGGAGAAAGCAATCGGGTGTGCTTGCGTCACGCTCAGCACCTTGAGGTTCGGCTTGAGCCGCCGCTGCAGCTCGGCCAGCCAGGCGCCCCCCGCGGCCCACGACACGTTGCGGAGGCGGAGGGTGGAGAGCGCAGGCCCCGTGGCTTCCAGAAGCGGCGGC